GTGTGTGTGTGTGTGTGTGTGTGTGTGTGTGTGCGTGTATGATTGGAGAAAGCCTTTTGCTGTGTTGCAGCTGTGCACTGGCTGGCAGACGTCTCTCCGGCGCAGGGTAGGCCAGCACTGCCGCAGAGTGAACAAGCTCCATAGGCAGCAGTTCTGAGTTGCCATGGAAACCAAACTGTGCAGTGTTGGAGGTGGGGGGTGTAGGGGGAGCTCTCTCTACTGCAGCAGCCAATGGAACAGCGCCATCCAATCAGATGCGTTTGCATAACGAGCTTGTTATGAAGAGTCCCCATGGTTGCAATGCCTGTGTTCTAGGGCCCGTCTAGACAAATCTCAATCACGTACATGGGGGAGGGAAAAAGAGAGAGTGAAAAAGGAGGGGTGCTCATGCAAAAGGCAAAGACTAGAACCACTAAAGAGCTTAACAGCTGGAGCTGAAAGGTCTCCCAAAATCCAAGCCACAATTTTCTGACAATGTACCTCAAAAGGAAAAAAAAAAGATCCAATGTAAATAATGTGTCACAAAGAGGTATTCAGGCTGACACCATCCCTATAGAAAATGCAGTATTTAAAGGAAGAGTTTGTCTAAAAATGAAAATTCTGTCATCATTTACTCACCTTCATGTTGTTTGAAACCTGTTTGAGTTTCTTCTGTGGAACATGAAAAAGAAATTTCAAGCAGATAATCGATTTTTCAGAAATAAGCTATAATTGGTTCTTTTGTCTTGTGACTATTCACAACACATTTAAATGTTAAATCGAATTGAATGCAAATTAGATTTGTGACCTATGGTGGATGGGAAGATTTTCAACAAATTATTACAATTTCAGGCTTTTCCACACGCTTAGTTATTGTATTGCTTTACAAGTTGGAAAATAGCAAATGAGTTAAATGAATAAAATAAAAAAAATGTATTAATTAATCTGTATTATTTTCCTGTAAAAATATCTAAACATAAAACAACATATTTTCAGAGTCATATCCTATTATAAGTAATATCATAGTAATAAGTAATATCATATTAGACAGTATGTTTTCAGAGAAAATATCTTAAATTAAGCTTTTCTTCATGCCTTTTTTAAAATAAGATCTCATTAGTTATTGTTTGTTAATGCATTAACTAACAATGCATTTGTAACTATGATTAATAAATGCTTTAGAAGTATTTATATTGTTAATTTAACATAACTTATTTTAAAATGTTACCTTTTTTCTTCTAAACATAAAACTAACCAAATTTATTTAGGTTTATGCTTCTGCTATTAACATTTTAATATCTTTTGACTGACATTTCAATATTTTTGTCTAGAAAACAACACAATAATTCTAATACTACAATTTTATAACATTTTAAGACAATTTTTGCAGTGTATATCTATGCTACTTTTGTGTCCTTTTTGGAGCTTGACAGCCCCAGTTAACTTATTCACTTTTTTGTAGTATGGAGTATGGAGAAAAAAAGCAGTGTGAACACTCTGCCGCAGAAGAAAGTTGGTCATTTGGGTTTGGAACGACATGAGAGTAAGAAAATGATGAAAGTATGCCTTTAAATACTGCATTTTCTGTGGAAAAAGAACTGCCTTATAGTGTCAGACATCTTTGGGATCTTTTTCCCCAAAAACATCCTCATCTTCAACATACCAGACAAGAAAAAAATGCTCATTAAATGAAATGTCACTTATCATTGTTTACATCTGACAAAGCATCAATTCTCACTCTCCCGTTACAATCCCTAGACTCTCCACAGTCTATCAGGCTCCGGCGCAGGTGGCCGGCTTTGGCGAGCTGAGCTGTTAGACTTGCGGACAGCAGAAGGGCAGGCGGCGGTTTTGACCTGCATTGATTTGAGCCCGTGTCTGACACGGCACTGCAGGGAGAGCATGACTGACGCCAAGCAGGGCTCTTAGCTGCTGAGGGGAGACCTCTCTGCCCTCTCCACGGCACATTTACCACTGCTGAGAAGAAGGGAGGGTTGAGAGAAAGACTGAATCTGTCCAAGGAGGCAGATAAAGCGAGGGAGGGCTAGGGAGGAGAAAAAGAGGAATCCCTCTCATTATCTCAAAGGTAAATACAGTCAGCTGGGGGGACTGTGACCGACCGACCTGGTAAATGTTTTATCTCTCGCCAAGGCGCGGAGAGAGAGCTGACTAGAAAAAGGCTGATCGGTAAAAAATACGACAAAATACCCCGAGGTCAGGCAAGTTGTTTCATACTGATCATTCAACCTGGCCTTTCTTATGAGTGCTGTGATGTAATGTAGGCTGAAGGCAGATCAGGGCGCTACTTGTTGTATGGATGGTCTAATGTCAGCCTAACTTTTCTGGGAGGGAGCCATGAAATTTTTTTTAATAGGACAGTCCCCATTTTTGGTGTCTGTCTTCTGTGGAACACAAAAGAAGATATTATAAAACATAAATTTAAAAAAGTTCGTTTTTTTTATTCATACAATGAAAATCTATGGGGTTCAGTGTTGTTTTGGAGCCCAACGTATGGACAGTTGTACAACATTGTAAGTTTCAGCCATGATAAGTTGAGCAAACAAGTAGTATCTGACTTAACTTTAGACCATTCTGAACTATTTGAACTTGACCTGCCCAGGTTTTCACATCAGAAATGTGGTCACCTCACAGGTGACACATTTACAGTAACTGATCATGACACTCAAAAACCAAAACATCTAGGATGCTATAAATACAAGAAATGCTGATTTAGCCTAACAACATGAAAATAACTTGCATTCTGATGATGTCATAACAACATCTATTTCATCCATGCTTCAATCAGTTAGATAGCATTTAAAAGGTTACCTCCTTTTTCTTCTTTTTCTTAACTTTGGGCTCCTTTCCCTCCATTATCTTGCTGGGTTTCTTCTTCTTATGCTGTTTAACCGAATCATCCTCAGAGAAAAATCTCTCTAAGGGTGACAGGGGGACACTCCTCCGACGTTCACCTTCCTCATCCTCATCTAAGAAAAAACACAAGAGGTTCACACTTATGAGTTTCATGCATACATCACATCACCCCCATCTATTTATCAATCTATTCATCCATCCATCCTGTTGTTTAATCTGTCTGTCGATCTATCCAACCCATTCTCATGAGAAAACGTAACTATTTTATGATTTCGTATGATCTATCTATCTATCTATCTATCTATCTATCTAACTGTCTGTCTGTCTGTCTGTCTGTCTGTCTGTGAAGGGTTTGCCTGTGTAGTGGAGGCTCCTTCACTCCATTAGAGTAAAAGCAAAGATTTTCTGAAAGGGGAGCGAAAGGAGAGAGGTGAGGTCTCTGCCACCTACTGAACTGTGAACCTCTCACTGTAAACAAAAAAACTACTGTCTGGCAGCACATATTCACTGTAACACTTCAATGATGCCATGCTGTCAAAAAGAAAAGAAAAAAAAGACATCAGGAAAGCATCGTCTGCAACCGGAGCACTATGGTGCAACTCCTGCCGCTTGTCAATCGTCAGCTCAGACGGTGGGCCATGAAATATGCATTGCGTGTGGTGGAGTCAATCAGCTAAAGCCCTGTTCCGCAGCCCACCACGCCCCGTGGGAGCTGCCAGATGAGGGGCTTTCCCAGCCTCTTGGATGCTATCCTCGAAATCCACTTAACCTTCATTTAGCTGCCACTGTTTGAGGACTTCAGCTCCGGTGAGAGCAGCCCCTGCACGGTTCAAGCCTCGCTTGCAGTCCTATAGGGCATTTTGGGTATTTACTCATGTAAAATACAAAGCTTCCCATCTCTCTCTCAGCCACTGGGAGGTTTTTTCTTATTTCAATCTTCTGCCGCACATAAACAGAGCAGTTGCCTGCGAGATGACGGATATTTAGGGCAGTGCGTCTGCAATGCATCTCACAGGGAGGCTCTTTCATGTCGGCAGAATATGTCTGCTGCCTGCCAGGCGCATCAAGCACACATCTCGTCTTCATTCATGTCTCACTTACAGTCGTGGTAATGCAACACAGCACTCTTGAAGTGAGGATATAGAAAAAAGCGAGGTTTTACATTGTCAACTTACTTTTAAGCATTTTGGATTATGTCGTTGTGAAAATTCATATTTTTATTCTCTATATGAATACTGAGGGGTTGAAGTACATATCTTTTTCAGTGTTAAGGTACATAATGCAAGGTACATATACATAAGGTACATAATTCTGTTGCACTCTGGTGAAAATTCATATTTGTATTCAATATATGCATACTAAGCTGAAGTGTATATTTTTTCAATGTGAAGACACTTTATCCAATTCCAATTTAATATGCTAAGAAAATAATGAATAATCAATCATCTGTAGCCTGATTTCCCCAAAACTGTAGCTCTATTTTTGCATCCCGGACAGTCACGTTTTGTGCCATGTTCCCAAGCAAACAGAGCCTCGACCAGGAACCGCCAGGTGTTTAAAAGCTGTGCTGTTGCCATTCGCTGCTGGTAGCGGGGCTGAAAATGTCACGACTGCAGCCACACATTTGTGTGTCAGCTAAGCATGGACATTGGGGTAACTTTGACCTTGCAACAAGGGCTGGGTCAGTGCCGCACTCCATTAGAGATGGGATTCACGGCCGGTCTCGCTGTTAAGAAGAGGAACATTTACAGGAAAACGCATTAGCTGCCTGACAGACTGCGTATGTTAATAGTGCCTCCACCGTTAATGTGATGAGACAGCATGGTTGGAACTCCCCCTCATTGAGACCTTCAAGTTTTATAGGCCGTATCTTTACTTTCTGAAGACTATATCCATTCTCTAAGTCCCAAGGCTCATTCACAAACCTTTGCTCTGCTTTGCAAAGCGATATAGTGGCAAAATTTGCAAGTACACAAGCAAAGTAGTCTAAAATTAATGTCCTAATAACCTATAAAACAAGAACAAAGCCACTGCAATTGAGTTTAGATGCTATAATTATTTTATTCCAGCATGCATATTCTACACTGCAGTAATTTGTTGGTAAAATTAGCAAGATGTGACACACTGTGGAGTCTGATGCAGACACATAGACATAAGTGCGTGATGCAACAATGATTTACATGCATGCACAAACTCTAGCAAAGAGAAAGGAGTGTCAGCTTTCACAGTGCAGCTTCCAAAAATAGCCCCCACCAAACAGAGCTATGAGCAGCTCATGATAATCTTTCAATTTCAAAGATTATGACTATGTAAAAGAAAACCAGACTTCGAATGGAGGAAATAAAGAAGGGGGCAAAAAGCACTCAAATGACTTTGGATCAGCTTCACCCTAATGCATCCTAATGAGGATCAACATAAACAGAAACTCTCACAAGCATTGTTGGGGTATGACAGACAAATGAAACAGCACTAACAAGAACGGGGCAGAACATATAAAACCTTTTTCTTTATGACAATGATATTTTTTTTTTAGAATAGGACAGTCCACCCAAAAAATTCTGTCATTATTTACTCACCGTTACGTCGTTCAGAACCTGAATAACTTACTGTCTTCTGCAGACACAAAATTTTGAAAAATATTTTGAAGACTTTTGTCAATATAGTTCAAGTCAATGAGGTCCAAAACAACATTTTCAAACTCGGAGATATTTTTCAAAATATATTTTTTTGTGATCAACAGACAGATAAAGTTGTACAGGTTTCGAACGACGTGAGATTGAGTAAATTACAGAATTTAATTTATGGGTAAACTATCCATTGAATCTGCTATAAATTTTGAGATTGCAAATATTTGGAGCTCTGGAGAAAATCAATCTGGCGTCTTTCTGGAACCACTCCATCCTTTGTTCCTGATGTGGCACACAAGGAATGTGGACTCAAGTTGCAAAAATTTAAAACTAACTGATTAAAATGTGCATATCTTAACAGAAGCGATGCACATCCATTAACCAAATCTGACGGAGGTGAAATAACATTAAAAACCATGCAATTATTGAGCTCGCCATTGAATTCTTTATCATGTTTCATTCTCTTAGCATTTTTATAAATCATCTGTTTGTCTGTTTATATCTGCGGTTAGAGCATGCTCACTTCATTACTCCTGGCTGGGGGAGCAGTCATGTGTTCTGCAGTGTTTGGATACGGCAGTGAACAGTCCTGATTGCAAATCTCACTTCGCTGGCCTACAATACAAACTGCATTTTCAAAATACATCCTATTACTTTACTTATGCATGTTAGTTTCACAATAATTAATTAAAGATATGCTTTATCGTTCTTAGCAAAGAAGCTAGAGATTAACTGGATTGATTGTATGGAAATTATTACGATGTGGTTCGCAATTAAATAACTTAATAGCTCATTTCACATGCTAAAAATTGGCTATTTATTAATCTCACCAAAACATTCATCAACCACCTCATTATAATTTCAGTAAAGGAATCAGTGAAGGTGTTCTGGCCTACACTGAAAGCAATCAGTGAATGGGACTAAATAGCAACCCAAAATCCTGGCCAGTCCTGCACTGCATAGATTTCTCATTTTTAGCACATGCGGGGGCTTACTGTCTAAATAGAAAGAGCACGCTGGCTCATGAATTATTTCTCAATTATTAATTCTTCTGCATATTGCACATTATTTCAAACCGTTTGCAGCCCTCAGCAGCGTTCATATCAACCACGTAACCACCTCGTAAAAAAAAAGGAGGTAAATACGCAATTGGGGTGCAAATGAGATACTCGTGCTCAGGTCGGTCACGTGATTAATTCACGGCTAATTCAGAGGCAGCCTAGACCAGCGAGAAACCATAAATGTATTGATTTTATTGAATTGAGGGCCGTGAATGTATAAAAGGCATGCAGGCAGAACGAAGTCTTAACTACACGGCTTCTCCATTACACCACTGAGAACCCTGCTCTCACAGCCAATGGCTTTTGAGACTAATCTGTCATATAAAAAAAAAAAAAAAAGACTGATGAGTCTTTAAGGGGAAAATTAGATGCACGCCCCTTCACCAACACAGGAAGCGTAAACAGAGTGAAATCATAAGGATACAGTAGTCACCAGCAGCGATTAAGCATAATAATTGTGTTCATATTGCCTGAGAAAGATATATCCAGCATCAACATAAAGTGTCTATTTTCAACAAATATTTTCTGTAAAGCAGCTGTTGCACAAAATAATAGTTTCATACATTCATTTAAAATACACAAAGGCCCCTCTTTTAGCCAACACAGGAAAAATTTGACTGTAACAGAAAACAAATGTTAAAATTGTAAACCTGCTAATCTGCAGTACAACCACACACAAAATAAATAAATAAAATTGCATTATAAATTATTAAAAAATAACTTATAAAGTAAAATTTACAAAATCTCTCATCATTTACAAATACATTTTAAGGCTACTATAACAGTAAATACGGTTGAACTGACATTTTAAGTAAAAGGTCTTTATTGTCTTTTAATCGTATTATAAATTAAATCCACAGATTGAAGAAAACAATTTTGATAATCTGTATCAATTTCAGTACATTTTACAGCACCAAACAGATTAATAATAAATCAAATAGGTTTGTATGTTAACACTATAATGACACAATTAGTTACAGTTAGGAAGCCTAAAATATAAAATCACAAAACCTATAACATCATGACTGTAATTTTTATAGTTAAGTTCTGACAGTCAGTTTTTACGGTAAGTTTAACAAACCTTTTTTTTAAGATACTATGGAGGCTGTCTTGGCTAAAGTGTGTGCCCCTCAAACAGACCACAGAGGCAGTGGATGATTGTAGCTGATGTTTTCCTGTCACACGTGGCTCTATCAAGCACATACACTACTTTTACAAGACACTGTGACCACAGAGTAGCACTATAACCATCAGCTCTTTAATATCCCTTAGAGAAATGCCATAACACCTTTTTGGGAAACTGATTGTTTGTTTAGATCAGTTCTAAACCATGCATAAATCCCCACAGCTCCGTCTTACATACTACTTTTACAAAGAGACTGCAGTATTGCCATGCACCAGACTTTATATTAAAACAGTCCATCAGGTTTAAAAATCATTATGCACAGTGGGTGCAATATCAGAGCACCCGGACTGGAAAAAAAGACAGTGGGTGCATGCATAACTCATTTATTTGCAAAGAAAAAATGCGCCAACCGGATGATGGAATATGAACAGAGAACGATTTTATCTCAAAGCGAATCGCAGACAGATGGTCTGCTCTTTAGTCGCGCTTTAGTGACTCAAATACAGTCGGACAGTGCGCCGTTATTTTTGGACGAACAGTGTCCGGTGTGAGTCTGACAACAGAAGCTACTGAGACTATAATAAATCGCACGCGCGTCAACCCCCTTTTCCTCCGCATTCAACTAGGCGTAGCAGCGCAGTTGTGAAGGGCAGAACTCTCCCTCCCCTGTGACTCTTTACCCCCTCACCTGGCACGTCGTCCTCAAAATCCATATCGTCTTGCCCCTCATCTTCATTGCTTAGCGATCCGGGCATCTTTACCGCATAACAAGAAAATCACATTCGAGATGCAGGAATAAAGTCCAGAAACTTAACCCTCTGAATGCCCAGATTTTCAGCTTCAGAGGAAACGTCCACTGAAGGTGAGGCTAATTTTATTTTAATATGCTCTCAATAAAATAAAAGATGGCTGCCCTGTTTAAAAAAAAACCTTTCTCCCTCTTCTCTATCCAAATCCTCCAGTCTGAAAATAAGAAAGAGACAAAAATGGAACACACATGCCCAGATTGTGACGTCTGGGCGGTTGCCATGGCAATCCATCCCATAGTTTCCCAACACAACTAGTTACTGCTCTTCGCCTGGTCACCGGCTTAACTAGTAGTGAGAGTGGCGGGGTCTCATTGCCCTTTTCCCGCTGAAGTTCGGGGAATGTGCGGTTATACAGGGAGACATACGGGAGAAAGTTCCCTCACAGTCCCTTTCTGTCAGACGAGGGAAGCGCACAATAGGAGCAGGAAAAATGATTTTTTTTGTCCATCTTTTCTTTTTTCTTTTACAAATGTAGGTCGGACAAATTATATATCCGAGGTAACGGCTGAACGTACATCTTTGACGACTTGGTTTAGAGATGTTTTAAAGGGACAGTTCACTTTAAAAAAAATTGTAATTCACTCACCCTCACGTAGTTCCAAACCTGTGGCGTGTGTCCCACGGAAGAAAAAGCAGTGTTCACTTTTATTTCATCTTCTTGACATACACAAAGTAAATGGTGACAGGCATTCTGCCTCATTTTGGGTGAACTAAAGCGTTACAAACGAGGCCAGGTTTCCGTTATTTAAACGAAATATCGGTTCCTTTAAAAATTGTGTATAGCGCTGGAAACTTTTCTGCTGGAAATTAATTTAATCTCTCATTAAAAAAAATCCAATCTAATTCTTTCTCGTAAACCTGCTTCAGGTCAGCCCGCGAATCACGAGCCGTTGCCAAGGATACGACAGCGAGACGCTCTACGTGATCAAACCAGACAAAGACATTTCAAATAATCTCAAGTACTCATAAACCAACCAAAGCAGGTTTGCTGGTCTCCCGGTCTAGTCATGTATAGTTCTGGAAACATTCAGCTGGCCCAAACAGTTGAGCACTAGGAGACCAGCTAAATCCAGCAACCATTTAAGGCTGGTTTTAGATGCTCCAGCAGCATATCACCGATTAAATGAACTCTCTGAACCCTGTGAGTGCACAAACTTTGTTGCTATGGAAATTATTGGTCCTGTCTGACCGGTGATAGATGAATCCTATATGCTTTAGTGCAGTTAAAAAAAAAAAAGACAAAGACTTCGGTTGCTCTAAAAATAAAGAAATTGCACAATTATGAATCAAATGGATTTATCTTTCTCTTTTCCTCACAGTAAAAGACACAATGTTTCGAACATACTGAAATGAACACACCAGAAACAAGGAAACTGATTTCTTTTGAAATTTTATTGAATTTACAAAAGAGTGGCATGGATTTAATCTTCATCGTCCTCCTCCTCATCCTGGTTGATCTGGAAGTAGCGCAGTTCATAGCTCTCCTTGGTGTTCGCTACTACACGCAGCCAGTCACGCAGGTTGTTCTTCTTGAGGTACTTCTTGGTAAGATACTTCAGGTACCTGAAAACAACAAACACTTAAGTTTGCCTCATAACATACTGTTGCAATTGACATGACACCGAGTTTCAAATGAGATGGTAATATAGTCATTAAAATTGTAACCATATCTGAGACTAGTGGGTGCAAATACAGGTAATACTGAAAAGCTATGAAATGGAATGGGAAGGCTACATATAAAAGGTTTACATTTTGTAGTACTAAAACCCTTTAAAAAATATATATATAGGTTTTTATAAGTAACTGCTTTGTATTCACACAATTTGGCTTACTGGGTAAAACAAAAGACCCTTAAATTCTGCCTGGTGGAACAATCGCTATAGTTATAAAAAATATCTTAATTCAAGGGTACATAAAGGCTCCAATTATAAGGTGTGAAATTAGTGGTAGTGGTTCTCCTAACAGCTTCTAAGGCCCTTCTCATCAATCTGGCTTCTCAGACAAATATTCAACAAGGACAAGATGTAGATGACATGCCACAACACTTTCTGAATAGAGTTAATGCAATATTACAAAACCAGCAACAGCTACTTGAATAGGTAATGCCTCTTAAAAGTCTTGCATGAAACTTCACATCAAAAGTGGAGTAAGTCCAGGGACGCAGGAAGTAGGGGTGCTGAGGGGGCTGCAGCACCCCGATTTCACATGGTTGCAAATGCAACGCCAAGTTTGTTCATTTAAATGTATTCAGTTTTAGCATTTAATAATTTATTTGTAATGATCTCTGAAATGTAAATTGTACGTGGGCTATAATAAACCCATGTTTATCTTTATAAACATGATTAATTTTACTTGCTATGTTTTCTATATGGGATTATTAGCCTAATCCTCATGAACACGTGACGCTGGCGTGTGGTATCAGACATGAACTATACAGAATGCGAACAAGATTAACTTTAATACAAGGAGATAATGGCGCGAAAGCGAATTTCAGTTTTTTTTTTTTAAATGCCCATCCCAGCAAAAACTTTCCAAAATCGGCATCCAACACCAGCCCCAGCACCGACGTAAGTGAACAAGCTCCAGCACGAGCACGGAGACAAGTAAGCCTAGCGGACCTAGCCCAACCCCTGAGATTGATCAGCTACTATCGATAATTTCAAAAATGTGATATGCAGTCAAATTTCCCAGTGTGTATGCCACTTAAAACGAGTGTTCATCCCAACCGAAAACATCTTCCCGCGCCGACAAGTAAGCCTAGCGGACCTAGCCCAACCCCTGAGATTGATCAGCTACTATCGATAATTTCAAAAATGTGATATGCAGTTAAATTTCCCAGTGTGTATATGCCACTTAAACGAGTGTTCATATCGACGCACTTGTAGTGCTTTGTGGAGTTGTCAAATGAGGTGACCCCCCCCCTTTTATTTCACCCAACACGGACACACACAGCACCCCCAACCGAAAACATATTCCTGCGCCCCTGAGTAAGTCATTACACAAAGATCACAGTAATGTGTAATAATTCCACCCTTTCAACAATTAAGTCACATCTTCAGTAGATGAATTAGATAAACACAAAAACATTTATAGGCCACAAAAACACCACATCAACTCTCAAAATGATTTGCTATATCCAACACACTAACAGCAATAAAGCTGACATGAAACTGAAAGCCACATGATGGGCTGCTTTCTGTGTTTAATACTAGTCTGTTCCAGTAAGCAGGAAGGAATTCAGCATCAAATGAAATGAAAGATTTTACTCTATACATACTAAATAAAAAACTATTTTGACAGTACCTATACATAAATAAACGTCTGATCGCAAGATGCACGCGCGTTTCAGTTTATCATTAAAGAAATTAAGGATGAATCTAAAACACCTCAAATCAATGGCTAAACTGGCAGTACAATACTGCACACTTTCAATCTGTAAAACGTGTGGGCTGTTAGCCACAATGACGACACGCACAGGTCTTGGAAACACTGCACCGAGGCACAAACACATATGAATCACCAATGTTCTGATCGTGTGAATGTACACGACTGATTTATAGAGAGGAAACAAAAAGTTAATTGACAAATCTGTTCGATTTTGCTGACTATATTTAGACTACTTAAACTTACATCAACATGGCAGACAATTTCTTTAGGCATAAACTCTTAAAGTACTTTTTGCACCTTTCAATTCACCTTAAATTCAAATGATTAAACGTCTTACAACATTACAATACAGCAGTGAATCAACAGCTAACATACGATTCAAGGAAATACTGGGAATGGCAATAAAAACAAATTGTTGAGAAAAAAAAGATCTCAATACAAAACTGCATTGGAAATAATGATAATGGCAATAAACTGTATAAAGTGCACAATGTTGTGTTTTGCTGTTTGGTAACGCATGTGCTAAATTTCTCAGTTCCATTATCTTAATGACTACTTTTAAATCACATTTTAATTTTAACAACTAAATGTTCAATATTATAGTCACAGTGAAATAACAGCAATAAAATTATAGTTAGCAGCCCTTCACAAGAATTTGGATCTCTAATCTCAGACTTACCTCTTAGAGAAAGGGACCTCAGATGTCACTGTGATTTTGCTCTTGCTCCTTTCAATGGAGACCACGCCACCACCCAAGTTGCCAGATTTACCATTTACTTTGATGCGCTCCTGAAGGAACTGTTCCTGCATAGTGACACATGCAGACATGCCCATCAGATCATATAGAAATATAACTGCAAAGTAGGGCTGCACGATAAATCGCATGCGATATTTAACGCGCATCTTGTCAGAAAGCCGGTTCTGTAATCAGCGGTAAATCTCCATACCGTGCGTGCTATCACATTGAGCAGCATTAACTACACAGAGCCGTTGTTCACTGACGAGCTGCGCCAAACCACGTTCATATTCGCGCGATTTTTTGCGCAGCTCGTCTGTGAACAACGGCTCTGTGTAGTTAATTTATCGTGCAGCCCTACTGCAAAGCCATTAACCATCCAGACCCTTGTGCAGCTGTGATACATTTAACAGTTACTGTACTTTTAGCAGTTATTTGAAAATAAGACATCATTATTATTATTGGTAGATCACACACAAAAAAAAAATCAGACTAGACAATTATGGACATTAAGTCCACTCTGCAACTTATTCTGGCCATAAACAGACTGGAAGAAACTGACAAACGACCAAACAATGTTAGTTTTGTTCCAGTGTGCCGTTCAGGAGTAGGTCTATCTGAAATGAATATCAACGATAGACCAGCACAAAAAAACTCAAAATATGGCACTGCAGTTTCCCAGAAAGAATGCAGGGGAAAAAAACAGTGATGTGTACACTGTATTTTTTGTAATCAGAAATTTGCATACAAGACTGCAGAAAACCATTAGACTCACATATTAAAGCAAGCAGAAAATACAGTTTTGCATGTGTGCAGTTTTGGAAAAACACTGCACACTTTTCAGTCAGGTAATCTGAATGGAGATTTCCAGTTTTGTGTGCACTCTGCATCAGACGATCAGTTTATACTTACAAAGTTAGCAGCATCCATGATGCCATCCTCCACAGGATGAGTGCAGTCCA